TCCTGAAATTGCAGCTCTTACGAGTGTTCTCGCTGCCTAATCAGGCATATCGCGTACGATCGCGCTTCCTTGCCGCCCGACAGGGCAACAAGAAAGTTTGTGATCACGAGATCTTGCTTGAATACTAAAAAACTCTTAAGTTCGCACTAAAGAGGTTTCTGACCGTTCAAATCATGTAGATCTCCAAGAAAAGGAATAAAAAAATGTTCTGAAATCAATTTCTTTCAAGACGAGCGGTGCTGTCATCGCAGGAAGGTTTAGGGGTTTACGAATTTCGTCCTAATACGAATGAGAAAATATGGTTGTCTTCAATGCCGTGCTTGTGGTGGTATTCTCTAATCAGTATACGCGCACCAATCCGCCCGTCCCTGCGCATTTGTCGAAATTTATATTTGAATTAGGTTACATCTTTCGTCCATTCGAAGAATAGTCCAGGACATTAAGGGTACTTTTCTTGTAAGACTCGTATCTCTATGTGCCTCCGGTAAGCTTTAAAAGGTTAATTGCACCTCGGTTCGCGGTGGACACAGTCACTTATCGGGTAGCTGGTAATACGTACAGCAGTTATCGCGCTCCTTTTTCACCTGTGTTTCTTCTATTCAATTGAGAGCTATATTACGCCGATAAAGTCAAGATTTGAATTTTCGGGCGTACGAATGAGCGAATGTTTAGTTGTCGTCGCGCCTGAGAAATAGTTTGCGTACATTCAAAAGCCTCTTTGAGTGAAGCAGCATTGACAGTGCGGCAGCATTGACAGTGATCGCCGCGGACACCACAGCTACACCTCGATTGTCACGTGAAAGGCCGAATTATCTAGTATGATTATAAGGATGATGAATGATAACCCCGCAAGAATGAATTTTGCGGACGTACCGTATCATCTGTCAATTGAACGATGCAAAGTTCCTTTAACGACATTGTGGAGTGATTGGCTACAAAGTACGAACACGAGCACACATGACACAGTCAGATCGGGCGCAACAACAAGAGCTCAATCGCTTGGTCGTTTGACTCGATTGTGCCTTTGGCTTAGTGGCAATCTCCAGCATGGATCTCACGGATTATCTTTTCTTTAGTTTTCAAATACAGGATACTTCGTTTACTCGAACAAAATCTTATTTATTCGTAAATTGGGTAAATCATGGCTGGATCCGTGTTTCCGTCATCCGTTGCCAATTTATCGACCTCCCAGCTCGAAGAAGTACGACCTTCCATCCCTGTATTCGGTAATCATCAGGAAGAGTTGAATGAAGTAAAAGTCGCCATGATCGCTCGCTTAAAATATCTCAAAAAACTTTTACAAACCTCTGAAAGCTGTTGAGGCTTTTCATAAAAATTAATCGGAATATCAGCTTTCGGAGGGTTCGTCTTCAAGAGCTGAGCCTTAGGATTGCGTTGATACCACGCTTTGAAATACGGTTCGCATCGCGGCGGTTTAATACAAGATGTAAAATCTTGTTCTAATGTTTAATTGTTGAAAAGATACACCATCGGTATTGGGGGGCTGAGGTCGTTGTGATTGGCGACAGCTTCGAAATCCTCCTCCATTGTCGGCTTTCAGCTGGTTAGTATGCCTTTGATATCTGTATTTTGCTTTTGTATATCCTGCTTTTTAGTCATAGTGTCGCGCACTTACCGCATGATCTATTCAGAGCTTAAATCGTTGATACGGCTACCAGCAAAATATATCAATAAACAAGATCTGAGCCACTTTGTTTGTACGCGGTATTTATGCAGACAATTCCTTTAGAGTTTAATATAGGTCCTTAGAGGCGTGTACCGCGTAGATTTACACAAGACCAATCTCGGTAGCATTTCGACCATGGACCACTGACGCTCCGCGCAAATGCATCGTTCAAATATTCTCCGACTTGGTCAACATATTTGTCTGATGGTTGGTGTGAGGATGGTCCGCAATGGACATGTCCATTCTGGTGTCAACATCGTGAATATTGTTCGCCACGTTATTTCTGTATAGCAACGATCTCATTCCAAGAAAATCTCACGCATGCCATGTTGGCAAAGCCTTTGTCGATGATAGGCTTGACTGTCCATACTGGTTACTGTGTTGCTGTTAGTAGCAAAATGGACCATAGTGTTCAAACGTCCTGCCAATTCTACAATTCCGGTTTTACCAGATACGACTTTAGAAATCGAAATCCCAAAAATGAAGTCTACTGCCAATATTCTGTCGGGGTCTGTTGACTGATTTAGAGCACCGACGGATATTGCTAGGCTATCACCGGGTGAAATTCTTACAAGCACTCAAAAAACTACACTTAACTTTTTAAAGATGGTCGAGTACCGGTCCATAGCGCTCATTGAATCAAACGTCTTTCTCCACCGCATGCAGTATTCAGTACTAACTATGAACTATGTACCGAGGTACTACCACGCGCGGTGGTCGAGTGGGGCGGTAGCAAGCATTCAAACTAGAAACGTGGTACAAATGCGCTAATAAATGCTCTGATTAAAAGCGCATGCGAGTTCATAAAATTTTGCTGCTTAACTATAGTCTGCCTAAAAGTTGCATGGCGCTGACATTTTCTGCGAGTGATGTAGTGGCGCTGTCGCTGCAGATTGCAAACTGCTTCGAGCTAAAAAACGTCTCTTACACTTTACAAAATAAACTTTCATTGCAAGTAGCTCAATATCATCAATTAGTACCTGTCTGCTGCTTAAAGCTGGTGATATTCAAACGCAATAACACATTTATTCTCAGTGGTGCCTGCTTGAAGTAATGTACAGCCGACGGCAACGGCTGAAATAGACGATGTGGGTGGTTGGAAGGGGCTCAAATAGAAATACAGATGATTTTATATTCAGCCTTAAAGGCCGCATCCCCTGCCGCAACTGAATACTAGTTGAATTATTTCTAGCAATAATAGTAAGAGGATGTGCCATTTACACATTCTACTAACAGATGTGTCTCGAGCATGCTTACTACAATGAGGGCGTTTTGCATTATTATTAAGGACGTCTCACTTCTCGCGCTCTGGGTTTTGTGAGTGCGGTCTAATCCCTGGCAGATAATAAACTCAGCTCCTCATGCGGCACTGACCGTGCCAACTCGGTGATCTTACTGTCATGCAGCTCCGTGCATATGCGCCTAGGGCAGACTGTTCAAACTTCAAATTACAGAAAAACTCCAAAATCTCAATAAAAGGTGAGGAGATATAAAACCGTGAAGCTTCACAACTCACCCCGCACGGAATTGCTCACCTTTCAGTATTGTTTAATTGTGACAAATAATTAGTCATTCTCAATATTTTCAGAGACAATCCTCTCTACTTGCGACAACCAACTTCTGTATCGATATATCACATCAAGCGACAGCGCGACACATCACCGCTTTTAAAAATCAGACATGAAATAATTTAACTCTACTTACAACTGTAATTCTTGTCACATCAAATTGAAAATCACGACTCACTGTTGCGTCTGCATTCTGAGATGAATGAGTTGGATTGCTGCAGACGATTCCAACTCCGGCACCGAAATTCTCGCAGTTCGTGCGTACACTACTAGCCCAACTGTTTCTTCTGAAGTTTGACCAGTAACCCGTTGCGAGAAGCACGGGGTCGTTTCCGTATTTGTGATGACTCTGTACACAGAAAACTTTTTATGCCAGCTACGAGTCGTACGTTTTAGCATGTCACTTTTGATCTCTCAATGGCGTCGCACGAAGAGTTAGCGAACAACTATTGGGCCTTGAGCTTCCCTTGGCTAGTGTTAATTTTTTTGGGACTATTTCCTATTAATAGGCCTCACAAGAAACCATCTAGTCTATTTAACCCCAGGCCAGCCTGCGGCTGCTAAGGCACAGCATTTTCCACGAAGGTGGAGGTTCGACCCTTCGCAAGTCTCAGTCGAGAGAGTAGGTCTTGAGGGGCGTGAATGTTTCGTACACATACAGATTTAAAATCGACGAGTACCACACGGCTTTTATTTAGCAGAATATAGCTTCCTCAGCCCTAGCCGTACTGAACCCTGCTCAGCAATGAGCCCTTGTGGTACGCTGTATATGATGCAATACCAACAGCTTCCTTGAGAGCAAAAAAGACGACGCAAAAGATTTCAGTCAGATTCGTACCTCTTTAGTGACCAGTCATCAAGATTGCGACCGCTAACGCTTCTAAGAAAGGACTTGCGGCTCGGTAAAACAGTACTCATTCTCTAGACATACTCTGCTCATTCTCTCCTCCTGTATAAAGTGAGTGAGAATTATGATCGTACGTGCGCAAAATTCTGAAATAAGGCCCCACGTGCTAAAAAAACTTTTTACAAAGGTACCGCGCGTGAGTGTCCATTCTCGTAAGTTGAATCCCTCGGAAAGTGCTAGCGTGATGCGCCGATGATCATTTTGGTGTGTGTCCGATTTCACAGACATATCAACCATTCAGAGGTTTTATTATATTTGCTTTCAAAGGACTGAATGCTTGGCAAAAGCGGCGTGGATATGGGACTCGGTTTGCAGACGCCTATTTGAAGAGCCCCTGGGAATTTTGCCGGAGCGTTTTTTTTGCTGTAAACATTTTTATCCTTTCCGGGTCCTAGGCCACTTTACCCTTTAGAGTGATTCAAGATAAAAATTTGTTAAGCACATTTAGTTGTCGGCAAATAAGTAAACCAATGTATTTTATATTAAATAAACGTGCAGTTATGATTGAACTTCGGCGTCCTATTGACGATGCATGCTATCAGCTGCAACGGGGCTACGTTCAGCTTATCCGAGAAAGTGTTTATACTAGGAGTCCGCATGAAATAAAGCACAAAGAATAGGTTTGCAAACCTCACGCACATGTGGAAACGTGGGTCTTTAAAATAGCTAACGGATTTTTACGAATAGAAGACTTTCTACTATTACAAGCCCCCATCGAATTTTCGACAATGTTCTAGAAATAAAAAAACGCTTCGATTTAAAGACCTCTTCAAATTAAAGGCCGCTGTAAACACCTTAGCATTGGGCCGTTATCTTGAAATTGACCATGCGTCAAGCAATTGAGCTCGGAAAGAAGCAGGAGGCGATCAAGT